GAACTCAGTCAGGCTCCCATGCTCACATATCAAGCAAGCTCTTTACCAGCTAAGCCATCTCCTCAGCACCCTCCCTTCCATTTTTTTTTTTCAAGTTTGCTTGAATGGCCGGCAGCAGAGGCTAGGGTAGTTCACCTCCCATAGTCTGTAGGAGGCCAATGCTTATGTGCCGCCTCTGCCCAAGAAGGTCACCCTCCCCCCCAGGGGAGACCGAGCTCACCTACCAGTCAGCTTGTCTAAACAGAAAAATAAGAACACAAACCTCTCAGAAAACAGTTGATTGGTTAAGACATGGTGGCAACAGCAATCCTTCGAAGCAGGACGATTTCCCAGCAACCTCTTCGGTGCTAGCCCATTCCATTCGCTAAATAGAAAGGGAGTCTAGGGAAACAATTGGCAAGAGGCAGTCTCACCCTGGGTGTGAACATAGGACAGAAGGTCGTGAAGTGACTTGTCCCAGTCCTTCTGTTTCATAAGCTGGTACTATGCTGGCTTAGACATGCTGACTTCCGACAGGCTCCTGTTATTAACCTTGAGAATTGTCACAGGGGAACTCACCTAGTCTTCCCTAGCAACTCCAGACACCTTTGTTCTGGAACCACCAGCTGTTTAAAAAAAAATTGCTAGGTAGGGAAAAGTCAATAATATGTATGCATTCCTTAATGAATATTATTCTCAACAGTCAAGGTAAATGATATTTATGTGAGGTACGGTAAGCATTGCTTGGAAAATGCCTTATTGTTTTTTTTTAAGTTGTTTGTTTCACATCCATGCACGGGCTGAACTGCTGTAGAAGACGCAAAGCCAAGGGATTATATTTGTAACCAAACTTGTGGCCTTGTGCGTAATGGCAGAAAATCAGAAAATTCCAGTCACAGAAATACCTCTGTAGTCAAACTACTGTAAGCCGCCCAGTATATTTAAGGGACACACACACACATACACAATGGTGTTTTGTTTTGGTTTTGGTTTTTGTTTTCTCCTAAGGCCCTTTCATCACCACACTGCAAATTAGTAGCAAAACAGAAGGGGAAACCAGAGGCTCAAATGATCAGCTCAGAAAGCTCCTGACTCTCAGAATAGTCTCCCTAAAACTAGGTCCATTTTTCAGAAGTGACGGCCTTCCTAGGGCCTAGACTGCAGTGCAGAAATCCTGGAATTCCTGACCAAGGCTCCAAAAAGATCACCTTTCCTTTTACAACTTTGTTTTGAACATCCCCGCATGGCACGGAGAATGTTCAGAGCAGCCTGTTGCTGTTGCCCAGGTTTCTCGCATTTCCTTCCAGGTTAACCTGAAGCCGGATTTCAGCCAGCCTGTGTGCCATCCGCACTGGATTCTAGGCTTCTTCTTCCATGTGGCAGCCAGACTGCCAGCGTTCTTGCTGATTCACTGGGACAGGCTCAAAGGGTGCAGGGCAGTGACCAGTGGAGACAGGGCCTGGAGCTCACTGTAAACCCCAGCTTTGCCTAAGCTCAGCTGAAGCTTTTAGACTTTCTCATCAGCTTCTTCATCGACAAAACGGGAATCAGCCTGGTATTAGAGCAGCACTTAACTTTGTTTTCTTTGATGAAGTGCTTTGAAGATGAGAAGAGTTGCGTTTATTTTGTTTAGCAGCATAAATGAATGGGGTCAGAAACATGACACATCCTCTGTTTGGTGGCACTTCTTGATTTACTTGCCCTGCCTATCCCATTGCTTACTTGGTCCAGTTCGTCCCAGCCGGTCGCTGATGACTATCTCCAGGTAACTTTACTTTCAGGATTTAAACTCAAAACCTTTACGATTGAGCAAACATGGTAGGCTTTAAGGAATGTTACCATCATCTGTCTCCAAGGGAAGCTGGCCACAGACTTCCTCACATTCTTCTTTAGGTCTGTTAGAGAGCTCAAAGTAACAACTATGACAATCAAAATTGCTAACTTTCTCGGATTTTAATTAGAAAAGTCTGACTTTGACTAATTCCTGGAGTATCTCACCTTTTACTAAGGCTCAAGATAATTATATGCTTATCAAGTAAAGCATGAACATGCTTACTTGACTTTTTTTTTTTGGAAAAAAAAAGTTTTATATTTTGTATGTGTGTCTGAGTGTATGCACATGCGTATAAGAGCTCCTGTGTGTCCTACCCCCCTGGAACTGGAGGTACAATTGGTTGTGAGCTGCCCTGTGGTGCTGGAAACCCCGCCCTGGCCCTCAGCAAGAGTAAAAAGTGTTCTTTAGTGCTGAGCTATTTCTGGGACACACAAAACTTATGTCTATTCTCAGTGATCACTTGAGTTTTGTCTGATAGATAATCACATAACACTCGAAACACACACATATATATATATAGTTCAATTTGTTTTGAATATGCTGAGTAAAAGCCATAAAGATTGTCAGCTTTATCTTGTCGCATTTTTTTTTTTGCCAGGTTCATAATATCTCAGCTAAGAATCAGAAGAAATAATTGTCATAAAATGTACTTGGGCCAGGCCTGGTGCCACACCCTTTAACTACAGTACTTCAGAAGCAGAGGACGGCCGACCTCTGTGAGTTCTAGGCTACCCTTGTCTACAAGTCAAGTTCCAGGCCAACAAGGACTACAGAATAAGGTCCTGTCTTAAAACAAACAAAGAAAGAAATAAAAATGTACTTGAAGTCACTATGGTGGCTCTAGCACTTTGGAGGGAGCGGCAGGAAGATCAGTTGTGTCAGGCCACCCTCAGCCACATTAGAAATTAGAGACCAGACTAACATACACGAAACAAACCAATGAATAAACGGGAAATGGGGCCAGAGAGATGGCTCAACAGTGAGGTATCAGAGCCCCGGGGAACCAGAGTTACAGACAGTTGTGAGCTGTCCTGTGTGCTGGGAATTGAACCGGATCCTCTGGAAGAACAGCCACTGTTCTTAACTGCTGAACC